ACCTTCCCTGACCCCCAATTTCAACCACCCGAAATACAGGAAACACCCTCAAATGCTTCTTAATTTGAAGCCCAAGCAAACCCTATACCCCTACCTGTGACTCCCGAACCTTTCAACAAGTAGCTGCGCTGATATCCCCCTGAATACAGGGCATAACCCCACCAAAAAACAAAAACACCTAGTAGGTAAATGGAGCCTCAGGTAAAAGCCCGGAACCCTAAGCCCTAAGCCCTAAGCCCTAAGCCCTAAACCCTAAACCCTAAACCCTAAACCCTAAACCCTAAACCCTAAACCCTAAACCCTAAACCCTAAACCCTAAACCTCCGAGCTCTTAGAAGCCGTAAGCAAGGCATCGACGTCTTCTTCATCCTCAGGGCCCTCTCCTCGGCCACCTCGGGCGCTGGAGCGCGCTGGTCTGGCCAGGCCCGTGAAGTTCGCTGTTTCAGGGTTTTCGGGGTTTAGGGGGTTTAGGGGTTTAGGGTTTAGGGTTTAGGGCTTTAGGGTTTTAGGGTTTAGGGTTTAGGGTTTTGGGGGTTTAGGGCTTTAGGGTTGTAGGGTTTTAGGGTTTTAGGGTTTGAGGGTTTTAGGGTTTTAGGGTTTAGGGTTTGGGGCTTTAGGGTTTTAGGGTTTAGGGGTTAGGGTTTAAAGCGTAGGGTTTAGGGTTTTGGGTTTTTTAGGGCTTTTAAGTTAAAGGTTTAGAGCAAAGGGTTTTGGGGAGGTTTCGGTGAACACTTCCGTCTATGGGAGCACTGCACTATGCTGAAACCTGTCTAACCCCCCCTGAAATCAATTCCCCCAAAACGCGCCCAACAAAGCAGCAGAAAGCTGAATCCAAAGGCACTAGAGCTTAAACTTCAGGAGCCCCTAAACCCTATGCCCCCAAACCCCAAACCACACTCGACCGCCACCAGGTGGGGTTTCCCGGCGGCCACGCGGAAGCGGGCGAGGAAGACCACGAGGCTTAAGAGGTTTAGGCTTTAGGGTTCAGGGTTCAGGGTTTAGGGTTTCGGGTTTAGAGTTTAGGGTTTAGGGTTTAGGGGTTAGGGTTAGATTGCGAAAACAAGACACCTGTGGGGCGGCTGGGTTGATGGGTTTTACATTCGGTCTATAGGGTTTATAGTAGGGTTTGTAGGGTTTATAATCGGGTCTATAGGGTTTATACGGTCTATAGGGTTGATAGGGTTTACAGGGTTTATAGGGTTTATATGGGCCAGCATAGGCGCACCCCCCCCCCCCCACCCCATGGTATCCCCCCCCCCATGGTATCCCCCACCCCCCCTGGGTTCATGGTGGGTTTTCGGGTCCCCCCCCCCCCCCACCCGGTGGTTCATGGTCTGTGGTTCATGGGTTGTGGTTTAGGGGTTTAGGGTTAGGCTGTAGAGGTCAGGATTTTCACTCTGGTCCATTGGTTCATTGTGGGTTTAGAGTTTAATCAGGGTTCAAGGTTTGGGGTAATGGTAGGTTTACGGTTTGCCTCTCCCCCCTGTGGTTTGTTCTGAGTTTACGGTTCAGGGTTCAGGGTTAAAGCGGCTAAGGTTTCGGGTTGACCCTTCTCCCTCCTGTCGTTCATTGGTGGGTTTAGGTTTGAGGGCTTAGGGTTCAGGGTGTGGGGTTTAGGCTGAGGTTTCTCTGTCCTCCCCCGTGGTCCGTGGTGCTTTTAGGGTTAACAGGCAGGGTTTGGCATGGGGGGGGGGGGGGTAGATTACACGGAACGCGGGCCCACAAAGCGTTTATCGGGTTTAAGGGAGCCCGGGCTCAGAAGGGTTTAGGGTTTTTGGATTTAGGGTGTGAGGTCTAGGGCTGAAAAACTTAGGGTTTAGGGCTGACATGCCTTCCAGGCTGGATGCAGGAGGGTTTAGGGTTTAGGGTTTAGGGTTTAGGGTTTAGGGTTTAGGGTTTAGGGTTTAGGGTTTATTTAGGGTTTGAGGCCGGAGTTCCTTGGTTTGGGGGCTTTAAGCCTCCATTACCGTTCCCTCCTTTTATGGCCTGGAGTACTGCCTAGGCTACTTAGGCTGATGAACCCTTCAACTTTTTACAACAGGGTTTAGGGTTTAGGGTTTAGGGTTTAGGGTTTAGGGTTTAGGGGTACCCTCGAAGGGGCGATCCAGTTTCACTGTTCAGCACGGGCCATTTCTATTTGCCGGTGTATCTGCTCTGTGCCTTCTGAATCCTCCCGGACGCCTTGTATGTTTGGTCAAAACCGTTCTGTCCGGTAAAATGTCGCCGACAGGTCGGCTGGCTTTAGGCTTAGGGTTTCATAGTTCGGAGGTTCTACAGGGTTTCAAGGGACCCCCTCACCCCCCTTCCCTCCACCCGCCCCCTAAGGCAAGCCAAGCAAGATGTGAAGCCTTATTTCACCCTAGCTGACCCCCGTATGGTGAGTTCTCAAAAAATATTCGTCTCTTTTTGGGTACCCTAAATCTTGCTGTAGGGGTCGCCTCAGAATGAAAATTCCCAAAAGGAACCCTGATTTATAGAGGGTTTAGGGTTTAGGGTTTAGGGTTTAGGGTTTAGGGTTTAGGGTTTAGGGTTTAGGGTTTAGGGTTTAGGGTATCGTGCCCCAGGCCGCCAGCCGGGAGTGCCGAGAGGAGGTTGGCCTCTACTTGGCTCCTTGAGACGCAATTCGCGGAAGCCGGCCCGAAGTCTGGTTTAGGGTTTAGGGTTTAGGGTTTAGGGTTTAGGGTTTAGGGTTTAGGGTTTAGGGTTTAGGGTTTAGGGTTTAGGGTTTAGGAAACCTCCCAAACTCAAAGCCCCCCGAGCACATGAAACCCGTATATGGGCCTTAAGTCCTTGAGCAACAAGCCGCTTGCTAAAGCCTTGCTTCCCAGCCTAAACAAAACCCTAAACCCTACTTAGGCCCTACTTTTAGGCTTGTAGAGTAAGACTGTAGCCTTATTTGGGGTACTCATATCCATACTTTCACTACCCTTGAACCTCCAAACAAACCCCAGGCCCCAGACCCCCCCCCCCCCACCCCCCCAAAAAACAAAAAAGAAACGAGCAAATTTCCCAGGATCGACCCGGAGCCTACCGCTTTCTAGGCAGCAGCTTGACTCGAAGTTGGTGCGAGCTTGGTTGCGGAGGAGAGGCTGACCCTGAATGAAGGGTTTAAGGTTCCCTTAATCAAGAATGGTTTGAGGGAACCCAAGTAGCCCATGGTCAAGGAATCTGCCTTGAGCTATACAGGTTCCCTGCTCATGAAGTCAGGCGCATCTCTTATCCAAATGAGAAGTTTGATGGGAACCTTCGCACCCTAAACCCCGAATCCTAAACCCTAAACCCTAAATCCTAAACCCTAAACCCTAAACCCTAAACCGAGGTGTCTCGGAGAGACAGGTGTCACGAGGACGCCGTGGGACCCTGGTGGTGGCGTGCAGGAGCGCGTTCAGTCGAGCTCCAAAGCTCCAAACTCAAGACTTGGCCCTTCAAACCCAACACCCTACGCCCTGAACTTTGAGCCCCAAACCCTAAGCGGAGTGGTTTCGGGTGGGTCAGCAAAAGCCCTAAACCCCGCCTACGGCCGTAAGACGTAGACCGCTGGCAGGGTCTACGAGCAGCTTGTCCCGCAGGCGCCAGCACACGTCCAGGCAGCACCCGGAACCTTGCGGCTTTGGGGTTTAGGGTTGAATTCGAATTTTGGGTCTAGGGATTAGGGTTTAATCAGGGTTTAGGGTTTAGGGTTTAGGGTTCAGTTTGGGTCTAGGGTCTGGGGTCTGTCGGGTTTCCGGTTTAGAGTTTAGGGTAGGTGTTTTGAATTAAGAGTTCATGGTCCAGAATTGTCAGGTTTTGCTCTGGCTAAAGGTCCGTCAGGGTAACCCTTAGATGGGGATGTTGTTAGTAAGGCCCACTAGGTCAGACTGCAGAGAGGCACAGTGCAGGTCATGCCGTGATTAAGCTGACCGGCAATTCGAAGCACACTGGCAAACATATCTGTTGAGGATGCATCTCATAGTTCCCAAGACAAGGGCCAGTGATCTGCAGAAGAGACTCTGGACCCCTAAACCCTCTAAAACCCCAAATCCCTAAACCCCACCCGAAAATGGTAAGAATCTCCTAGCCCTAAACCCTAAACCCTAAACCCTAAACCCTAAACCCTAAACCATGGTAAACAGTTCCAAGCTCAAGGCCGCGGAGGTCGCCGCGTGTGGCTGGGTTCCCTTGGAGACACTCCTGGGGGACTGCGCGAGGCTGGGCATGTTCGGTATCTTAGTAGTAGGGTTTAGGGTTTAGGGTTTTGGGTTGAGGGTTTCGGGTTGAGGGTTGCGGGTAGAGTGGGTAGCCTTTAACCTTCTTGGGGTAGTATATTCACCTTTTTGGGGTAGTATATTAACCTTTTTGGGGTAGTATGTTCCTTATAGCATCCCAAAGGTTAACCTTTAGTTCCCTTAGGATAACAACTAAGGTGGGCCTGAAACCGACTGGCCGGTTCGTTGTTAGGGTCTAGGGCTGAGGGTTCAGGGCTTTTTGCCAAGTGCCCTGAACAAGGTCCTAGCCAGTTGTGACTATCGTTAACACACTTTTTCGACCCCACATATTATAAACATGCAACCCTTCAAGTCCTCAACCCTAAACCCTAAACCCTAAACCCTAAACCCTAAACCCTAAACCTGCTCTACGCGGGACTGGGCATTTCGGCATGCATGGCATTGGGTGGTGAGGGCACGCGCAGTTCATACATGTTAGTTCAGGAGCCTGCGCAACTGCCAATGTCATACCCTGTAGAACCCCGATAGAGGTACCACATCAACCTACACAAGTACCTGCTCAAAACCTAAGCCTAGACCCTCAGCCATGAGCTCTAGACATCCCTAAACCTAAGTTCAAGTGAATTTGGATCTTGCCGCTCAGCTGCTCGCATTCCACAGCCAGTGCCGAGTAAAACCCTAATTCAATAGCCGCAGCCAAAGTACCACACAGAAAGTATCCGAAGCATGCCTGCAAGAGCAAGAGCCAAACATTCAGTAGAAGGTGAGGAGCAGCAGCCTGGTTCGTCATTGAACATGGCTGCCTCTCAGGGAGTCTCACAGGAAGCGGCCATCGCTGTGCTAGCCATCCTGGGGGCAAGGGATCACTACGCGGCCATCGATGCGCCACGAGATGCTTCTCTGGCCGAGCTCCGTCGCTGCTACCTCAAAGCCTCAATCCTCGTCCACCCAGACAAGAACTGCCACCCCGACGCCACTCGCGCTTTCCAGCGGGTAGCTGCAGCCTGGGCCACGCTCGCCGACGAAGACAAGCGCCGCGCCTACGACTATGAGCTTGTGGAGGGAGACCAGAGAATCTCAGCCGCAAGAAGCGCACATGATTTGGAAGCAGGGTCTGGTAAAAGTTCGAAGAATATGAGTAGCATGATTAGAAAGTTCATGTTGTTGCTGCGGATCGCTCAAATTCCAGGCGATGACATCCAGATGACGCCAGAAGAAGCTTTCGCAGCTTTCGCCTTTGCTGCAGCTTGTGCAGCTGGTGGGGCAGGGGGCGCAGGGGCTGCAGTTGGGAATATGGCAGAGACCTTGTTTTGGGCACAGCAGCTCGGCCAGATGAATGGTTGTGGGCAAGGGCCAGTGTCGCCGATGCCAGCCTTCGGCTTCCCTTCCCCGTGCCCGTACGGCCCGTACGTGGCGGCACCAGCGGCGGGCTCTGTGGCTGCGAGCTTCGGGGGCATCGCTCTGTCGGTGGGCCTTTGGTCTGCAGGGCTGGCCATCAGTATCGTGGGCTTGCCACGCATTGGCGGTTTTGCTCGGCGCTTGGCGCTGCTGCAAGGGATTAGCCAGGTGGTCATTGTCTCGCAGGTGCCGGCTGTCCGCACTGCTGCTTGCACAGCTGCGTCGCTCGGAGCAGCCCGAGTTCAGGAGGCAGCAGGATACTTTGCAGATCAGCATCCACAGATGCTAGGATGCCCAGTAGTACCCTTATTCCCTTTTTGGGGGGTTTAGGTTCCCTTATAAACCCCTTTAAGCAAAAAAGGGCACCCCTTTTTAAGCCTTGGTTACTGGGCAGCCTAGGATGAGCAGCATCGCCAAGAAGGTGAAGGCTCGGATCTGCGAATCCGCAGATTCACTCCACCACGTCGTGGACAGCCACATCAGCATAGCCGGGGTAGCCGAGCGGGTGAAGACGCACGGCACCGCGGCAGTCACGAAGGTTCGGAGGCTGGTGGATCAGAGCTGTAAGACTTCCGATATCTGGCCCGGCCAGTCCTGCTTGGGCTGGAACCCAGAGGCTTAGGGATACTTGGCATTGTTTTTTATTCTTTGGGTACTACAATTCCTCAGAAACAGCGAAAATCACAGTTGTTCTTGGGTTCTCCAAGTTCAGTATAGGAGGAGAGTGACAGCGAAGAGGAGGACACCTGGTACGTCCAGAACATGAGGCTTCGCAGGCAACGCACCTGGAAGCCGCGTGCAGGGACCTGGGTACCTTGGGGACTACATGAACCTAAAAAAGGGTCTTGGTTCAGGTGCCTTGATAGGGATCACAGTAGTATAGGGTATCAAAAGGGTTTATGGTTCATGTCCATTGATAGATATCACAGTGGCATAGGGTATATGACCACAATTTCATGGTTCCTGATTTCGTCCCCAAGCTACATCCTAAACCCTAAGCCCCAAACCCTAAACCCTAAACCCTAAACCCTAAACCCTAAACCCTAAACCCTAAACCCTAAACCCTAAACCCTAAACCCTAAACCCTAAACCCTAAACCCTAAACCCTAAACCCTAAACCCTAAACCCTAAACAACCCTATTAAAAAAAAAGAGTTCCTTTGGTCCCCCAAGCCCAAGGTAAAGCTCTCCAACTTGCAGAGGGCACGTCACCTGGAAGGCTCCCTCGGTGAGGTTCTCGCATTCGATCGCGACAGCGGCCGATATCTTGTGCAGCTTTTCCCTCTCAAGAATCTTGGTCTAGAGTTTGGGGTTTGGGGTTTCGGGTTTAGGGTTTGGAGTTCAGGGCTTAGGTCCGAGGTTCGGTCATAAAAAGATACAATTCACCAACCCCAAAAAGGGCCCCCGCATTATGAGAGGGTTTCTCGGCTACTAAGGAACACACCAAAGGACTCCAGCCCAGAGCCTGACGAGCCACATGAGCCACGTGAGCCGCCCGAGCCACCCGTTGTCTCCAAGTTGGTCCTGCTGCAGAATCTGCGGCCGGCCTTCGACCGATCCTCAAAGCCGCCAAGCAGCGAAACTCACTTCATTTGACTCATCTGACGCTGTGGGAACAAAGGCGTTAAAACACAAATGCGCACACACACACACACATAGCAAGACGGGCTCTTTGAAGGCTTCAAGGCCGAAGCAGGTTCTTGCGTGTTTGGGTTTCCATGAGTCCCATGAGGACCACTGCAGGCTCGGCACGTTTTTTACACTTCAGGGTTTAGGGTTTCGGGTTCAGGGTTCGGGTTAGTAGCCCTAAGCTCTAAGCCTCCGAGGCCCGGACCCAAGGCATCTAGAGTAATCTTCGTGCCCTTTACAAAACAAGGTAAGGCGCACTTTCAGTGTTGGGAATGTGCGCACTTTTTAAAGGTAGGTATTGCAAATTTAGGGAACCGTCCCTAGGGGTCGATCTTCCTCACAAGTCTGTGGATGAAGTCTCTGCAGGCCCCATAGCCCTAAACACTATGTCAATGTCCTGAGCCTTAGCCCCCAGAACCACACTCTCCCTAAGCTGAGACCTTCCTTAAGGGCCCCAAGACCCCATGCTTATGGACTCTGTATCTCTTTTGGGGCCCGAAAGACCTTGCTTTGCAATTTATAGGGTTTAGGGAGTTTAGGGGTTAGGGGTTCAGGGTTTAGGGGGGGGTCTCGGGCCCTTAGACCTTTTAGAAAAGCCAAAGCAGCTGGCGCCATCCTCGACCAGCAGTGCAATGTTTTTGCACAACGTTCAAGCAGCGATACCCTAAATCCTAAACCCTAAACCCCAAACCCCAAACCCTAAACCCTAAACCCTGACCAGGCCATTGCGCTGGTCGGAGCTGCATGGCCCGGTGGGCGCGCCCTGGGACGGCTTCCCGCACCTGGCCTGGCATTCTGTCTTGGGTTTAGGGTTTAGGGTTTAGGGTTTAGGGTTTAGGGTTTAGGGTTTAGATTTTAGGGTTTAGATTTTAGGGTTTAGGGCTGAGGGCTTAGGGTTTAGGATGGCTTAGCGTTTAGGATGGTTTGGGGTTTAGGATGGTTTAGGGCTTAGGATGGTTTAGGGCTTAGGAGATGGTTTAGGGGGGTTGAGGGTCTGGGGGTTGTAGGGCTCTTAGGGCCTTGAGGGGTTTTAGGTTTTTGGGGGTTTAGGGTTTAGAGTTTAGGGTTTGCTTTTAGGGTTTTGGGTTTAGGGTTCAAGTTTTTTTTTTTTTGGGAGGGGGGGGGGGGCTTCTTGCAGGTTCACTGGGTGCTTATACTATTTGAAATCGTCAGAACTACACTTTGAAACTCCGATGCGCTCGCAGGAACAAAGAAGGGTGCAGCTGTAAGCGGACGTACGGGGGCACGGGTTACGGGGTTTGAGGGCTGAGGGTTTGCAAGAAAGGGTTTAGGGTTTAGGGTTAGGGTTTAGGGTTTAGGGTTTGGGGTTTAGGGCTTAGGGCTTAGGGTTTAGGGCTTAGGGCTTAAGGTTGCAGGTATGGAGGCGGGGAGTGCAGCCATGCAGCCAAGAGCCCCTCAAGCCCTCAAGCCCTCAAGCCCAAAGCCCAACCTGCTGTTGCAGAGAGCGCCTGCATACACCCTAGCAACCCTGTAAGACCCCATAAACCCAATAAACCCTGTACACCCAGTCTCCCACTGCCCGCAGGTCGGTGGACCTGCCAGTGAGAGAGCTGCACACCTCTCAGTTGGTCGACGAGGCACGATCCCTAAACCCTAAACGCTATGAAGCCCGAAACCCTTCTGAAGCCCTGAAAACCTGAAAGGGGGTTTACGAAAATGAGGGACCCCTTTCATAAGGACCCCACACTTGTACCCCCTGATTTCGGCAACCCCCATATCGACCCTCCAGCTAAGACCCGGAAGTTCCGGCTGAAACAAGCCCGAAAACAAAAAAGCAAAAACACTTTTCGAGCCCTCCACTCGAAAGCTCATAAGCCCCTAGGATCCCGCAACTCGGAGAACGTGGGGTGCTACTCACTGCAAGTTGTTGCAAAGAATCAGGCTTCGGGCACAGGATGCGGTGACGAAGTTGCTTGTGTGCGGGGTGACGCTGTGCATATTGGGTTTCGGGTTAATGACGGCTTTGGGATCAGCTGCTCGGGCAGCACATGGAGCATTTGCACTCCTTGAGTCTTGAGGCCAACAGGAAATCAAGGCGTCCGAGCCATTCCTGTGCTACTGTTTGCTTAAGAACCCCACAGAAAGAAGCATGGTTTCCTTACACGGGCAGTGAAGGGGTGTTATCCGTTATTTTGGGGGGATTTCTTTTGTAGATTGTCTAAATATTGCAAAACTCGTTAATTAAACGATAAAGCCCCAACCTTGCATCCCGGTACCAATGCCAGGACTTCGCACGTCGGCATTTCGTTCTCTGGGGTCTGACGCTTTGCTGCACCGACAAACAATTCTAATATGCAACTTTAGGGGTAACCCTTGTGAACCTGAGGTGCTGTTTATAGTGTATCGGGTTGAAAATTCCACAGGCTCGAAAAGTTTTGAGAGCCTGATATTTGGACGCGATAGTTGGACGCGCGTTCGAGTTCGAGAGTTTGAAGCGACACGAGTTTGAAGTTTGACCGCTTCGAGTTTGAGAGCTTCCCGAGGTTGAACGTTTCGGCTTCGAGGATTTGAGAGGTTCCTAAACCCTTAAACGCAAAATCTTAAACCCCGAAGCTTTCAAAGCGTCATCTACACGCACGCGACAACGCGTCTCTGGCCCTTCGCGCGCAAACGCCTCATTCGTCTGCGCCCTCAGGGTCCCTGTACCTATATCCTATGTTCTTGGGCCCTAGAGCTGCTACATCGGAACCCTTTTAAGGCCCAACAATATACTAGACTTACAGGGTTCTTAAGGGAAACCCTAAACCCTAAACCCTAAACCCTAAACCCTAAACCCTAAACCCTAAGGCAGGGTCATGTGGGGTAGGTATCTAGGGCCTTGCGGAAGCTTCGGGGGCCTGACGGAGTAGTGGGGAGGAATTGGGAACCTTGGGTTACCCTAAACCCTAAACCCTAAACCCTAAACCCTAAACCCCTAACTCTGGTTTAGGGTTCAGGGTTTAGGGCCCCTGAAACTTTCGAGCTCGAAATCCGGCCCCGCCGTGTGTGCTCTCATGCGCGTGTGGTTGATCTTAAAGTTTCGAAGTTTCAATCTCCCTTTCGCTTGAAATGCTGGAAGTCAGAAGTCTGTCAAACTTTGATGCTCTGAACTTTCGAGCTTCAGGTCGTTTGTGCTTTAAGTGTCAGCGTCTTTTCAGTGTTTCAAACTTTGTAATGAAGGTTATGAAGATTCGAAGCTGCATAAAGTACACGGGACTACCAAGAACATCAGAAGTAGCAAGAAGTTCTAACAATTGCAAGGAGCCACAGGAATATCGATCAAAGCGGTACCAATAGAGATCGTGATCTTCTGAACACATCCTCAAAACACAAGTTTTGTAACCCTAAAGCCTAAACCCTAACCCTAAACCCTAAACCCTAAACCCTAAACCCTAAACCCTCCCAGGACCCTTGGCATCGTCAACGACTGGCTCGTCAGCACCGGCTTGCGTCGGGAGCCGATCTCCCTGAGCGCCCAGCCATCCCCTCGGCTCTAACTAAAAGGTGAAAAAAAGAGAGCTTGAGCTGAGGGGTTTAGGGTTAGGGTTTAGGGTTTAGGGTTTAGGGTTTAGGGTTTAGGGTTTAGGGTTTAGGGTTTAGGGTTTAGGGTTTAGGGTTTAGGGTTTAGGGTTTAGGGTTTAGGGTTCAGGGTTCAGGGTTCAGGGTTCAGGGTTCAGGGTTCAGGGTTCAGGGTTCAGGGTTCAGGGTTCAGGGTTCAGGGTTCAGGGTTCAGGGTTCAGGGGTTCAGGGTTCAGGGTTTTAGGGTTTGGGTTTAGGGTTTTGGGTTTTGGGTTTTGGGTTTTGGGTTTTGGGTTTTGGGTTTTGGGTTTTGGGTTTTGGGTTTTGGGTTTTGGGTTTTGGGTTTTGGGTTTTGGGTTTTGGGTTTAGGGTTTAGGGTTTAGGGTTTAGGGTAAGGGTTTAATGTTTAGGGCATCCAGGCGAGGACGAGCCTGCTGCAAAAGGGCATAGGGCTCAGGGTTTAGGGTTTATGTAGGGTCGAGGGTTCATACACCTAGGGGGATAGCCAATTGTGGTGCTTTACTGTAACTTTAGGTCTTTAGCCTTCTTGGGTCTATTGGGCTTCCTAGTAAGGCAGCTAAAAATTTAGTTCATAGCTACCCTCCTAAGTGCAGCCAAGAGCCTCTCTACCCTTGAACAAAGGTTAGTGCACCTCAACTATTGGGACATCTCGGACCCAGAGTAGCCCCTAAGTAGCTGAGTGAGCACACTTTACACTCTTTGGGATACTAGAATCCCCTGTAGAACTCAAAGTGTACACCTTTTTTGGGGGGGCTTATGAACTCAGCAACTCAGTTCCCTTAGAAGCGCCGAAAAACCAAAATGGGTGCCGCGTTCCTTGGTTACTCTTGTGTCTAGATTTGTTTTTTTAGAGTTCGGGTTTAGGGTTGAGGGTTTAGGGTTTCGGGTTTAGGGTTTAGGGTTTAGTGGTGTGAGGAGGCCCGCTGCAGAAAGGGCTTGATGTCGCTCGACAAAAGCCGAGAGGGTTCCATCAGCGTCCCGCTTGCCCCAAAGACATGTAGGGTTTAGGGTTTAGGGTTAAATAGTGCCATAGATCCTAATGCTCTTGCGTGGAGTACTTCTGTAAGGGATATTGGAGGCTCGGCGGGGCCATGGGCAATACCAGCTGCACCAGCGTGGACAAGAATGGCCCGCAAATGGTGCACACTATGCTCTTTCCAATGTACGTCCTCAAGGCCTGCCAGTACCCCACCCTAAACCCTAGACCCTAGACCCTAGACCCTACACCCTAAACCCTAAACCCTAAACCCTCAATTCAAAAGTCCCTAAACGGTTCGTAGCACAGGCAGAAGCAGCAACTTCAGGCGGTGAAACAGTGGTTTTCAAGGTATTTGGGTCCCTTTTATGTTTGTGGCTTTTGGGGTTAGGGTTTTGGGTTTTGGGTTTACGGCAAAAAAAACTGTTGTCTCATGTCTCAGGCTGATCTTGCATGGTTGCTTGATTGACCCGTCTCGAGGTACAGGACTTCCTGCACATGGACGGCGTGCCCGAACCGCATGACCGCATGCTGCGGGACAATTTGCTCCACAAGTGGCAGCCGGGAATGTTCGTCACGTTCATCTCCCACCAGTGGCTGGGGTCCTCGCATCCAGATCCTCAGGGTCAACAATGTGCAGTACTTCGCGCTGCCCTACAAGGCATGATCGATGGAACTCTTAAGGTCGAGGCTGATCCAGTCACGATCATGAACCGGAAGATTGCACCGTTTTCGGCCGGTGCCCGCGAGCAGGTCGCAAACGGCTACATCTTCTTCGACTGGCTTCTATATCTCCCCTGGGAATTATGTTTTGTTTATATAAACCCCAAGAGGATACTAAAAGATAATATTTTTATGAAGGTTCTAAGGGGAGTACAGGTTTGCCATACCGCAGATCACTGCACGACTTCCCGGGGTGAATGAAGATGCGACACGTTCGGATGCTGCACTGGCTGTACAAAGCATCCCAGCTTACGTAGAGGTGGCCAACCTGTTCATTGCGTTGGTGCCAGAGCTCACCCACTCCATGACCGGAGCTCATTGCAACTATGTCTCCTGGTTGCTTGGCTTTCTTCTGGCTGGCGGACGTTAACCTTTTGGGTTGGGTTGTTGAAGAAACTAGACTAAGGAGCCTACAAGCTAAACTTTTAGGAGGGGTTCAGAAGTCAGCCAAGGTTGTCGAGAGGATGGTGCAGAGCGGAACTATGGTGCCATGTACTTTCTGACAAGCTCAACTCGAGCCTCGTGGTGGTCTATTCTGCCAAAGAAGCGGAGTACATGTATCCATTAGACTGGCAGCTAAATGCCATTGCAGATGGAGAGTTTACAGTGGAGTCCGACCGGGCGGCTGTAATCAAACTTGGTGATGTTGCTGTCCGGAGCAAGATCAGGCATCTGTCCTCAGAGGGACCTTTGTCCTCGTATCGCTTTTACTTGGCAAATCGGGCGCTGCTGCTGGGGCAAAGGAAAGAGCCCTGGGCCGTGGATGCTTTCCTGGAGCAGTTCCGGTTTACCAGCTTGGAAGCAGCCGCCAAAGACAGGAGCAGTATGAACGGCCTCATGTGTGCAGTTTTTGCTGGTGACGTGAGACTACTTCGCAGGCTTGTCCGAATGGAGGCCGATGTCAACTTTCACTTGCATGGTCTAGAGGATTTCGGGTATTTTGACACCCAGACTGTGCTGATGGCAGCGGCCAAATCCCATCAAGCGGCCGATCTGCTTGCCACGCTTATCGAGCTGCGTGGCGACGTGAATGCACACGCAGCCAACGGCACGAACCCTGCATTCATGTTGCGAACCCCCGAGCAAGTTCGCACACTTGCGGCAGCCAGGGCCGATCTGCAGACAGGACGGTATCCTCTGGGGCTTGCTCCACTAACTGGTGTCGCTGCTTTTGCAACTGCTGAAACTGTGGCTGCCATGCTCGCAGCCCGATGTGACCCGAACCCTGAATTGCGAGGCATGGGCTACGGGCCACTTCATGGTACTGCATTCTTTTCCCGGAGCAACCGGCATGCGAAAGAAATCGCCACTCTCTTGATATCCCATCGAGCCGACATAAACAGTAGATGCCGGCCACAGGACAGATATTGCTTGCTGTGCACTGCTGCACGGGCAGAATGTGCACTTACTGGCTTTCAAGCCACCTCATTGATGAAGCGGGTCTTCGCCAGCATGCCAGGCATTACGCCTCTAGGCATCTTTGTCATAGTTGGGTAACATTTTACATTTTTAAGGGTACTTAAACCCAAAAAAGGAATAAACAAAATTACATTTTTCTAAATTATCCCAATCATGAACTAGGTATGGCAGCCATGGTGGGTGCCGAGAGCGTGGCGAGTTTGTTGCTCGAGTATGGCGCAGAGCGGCTGACAAATGATCGAGGTGATACACCAGAAGACCTGGCTGCTATCAACCAACATGTCCACACGCTGCTTTTTCACAGTTGGGTAACAGTTTTTCATCTTTAAGGGTACGTTATAAAACCAATAAGAACATAAGTTTAATTTTTTAATACTATCCCAGCCATGAAACAGGTTGCAGAGCCTGGCAACGTTTACTGTCTAGCGTCGCCAACTTTGTTTGCCACCCGCATTCGTGTTTTGTGCTCATGACTGTGCAGAGCGCTTTATTATCTAAGCTGTGGCCCATGATGTCAAATGTATACTGCGGCCACTGTCACCCCGCACTCGGAAAGCGAGCAGACAAGCCTGTTCAAAGAACAGGCTTCATTCAAAAAGTCCACTTGCAGCAGTCAGCACCAGTGCGCAGAACAAAGCTCTCCTCTATCTCACAGCTTGGGATGTTCCCGCTTATACTAACAGTCCTAAATCGGGATTATAGTAGCCTCTGTGTTAATCCCTAGTAAGGACTGTTAGTAATAGGAATTAGAGTAGCCTCTGTTTAATCCCTATTAAGGGCCGTAAGTATAAAGGGGAACATCCAATCTCACAGCCCTAGAAAAGCATGTTTCTTGAGCTGGCATGCCGTAGGGGTCTACATGTTCTGTTCTTGCAGTTGCTGCGCCGATCCCCCTCCCAGTAGGGAACGAGAGGCTTAAGTGACCCTGAACCTTAAAACCCTAAACCCTGAAGCCTAAACCCATAGTTCGCTACTCAGAACCACGAAGTCTGGCGCATCATCAGGCCACTACCTGTGCCTGGGCCTGAGGGGTGAGGAGCAGCAGGTCCTCAATTGCGACAGTCGCACGTTTGGTGCCTTGATTTCATCAACTCCTACAATTCGTAAGCCCTGAACTGTAAACCCTAAACCCTAACCCTACACCCTACACCCTACACCCTACACCCTAAACCCTAAACCCTAAACCCTAAACCCTAAACCCTAAACCCTAAACCCTAAACCCTAAACCCTAAACCCTAAACCCTAAACCCTAAACCCTAAACCCTAAACCCTAACCCTGAGCCCTAAACCTGGATGGGATCAAGATGATGAGGTGGCAGCACTCCAGGTGGCTGCACGCAGCGACCCCAGCTGCAGATTTGGGTTTAGGGTTTGGGGGTTTAGGGTTTAGGGTTTAGGGTTTAGGGTTTCGGGTTTGGGGTTTATATAGGGTTTGGGGTTTGGGGCATTTGGGGCATTTGGGGCATTTGGGGTATTTGGGGTTTGGTGGGATTGAGGTGTTTGGATTGTTCGATCTGGTGCAGGCCTTTAGGGTTGTAGGCTGCTCTGGGAGGTTTAGGGTGGGGGGGGGGCTAGGGATAAGGTGCTTGGTGACTTGATGGGAATCTCCTTAGGCTTGAGGGTTTCGGGTGGGCCTCGACTCGCAAGCTCCACGGGGTTGCTTGCATTCCGCAAGTCCAGGTGTAACAAGGGAAATCCAATGTCGGATGCTGTACTTTAAACCCTAAACCCTGAACCCGAATTCTAGAGCTGCAAGTCCGTCAAAGAAGATAGCTCGGTCCGATCCTGGGGCGCCACTAAGTCTGAGCTGTCGTGCCTTGCAGACTCGCCTAAGATACCGTGCAACTTGAGAAGAGGATGCACTTGAGCTTGGTAGGCCATTCATACACTTTTCCCTTTTTTGGGTTCTCATATAAAGCAACCAAGCAACCCGCCCTCAATATAGGATGGCCACTCGGCTACCAAGTGAGCGGCTTGCATCTGAAAGGAATGATCCGGTTCAAGCTTTCGTTCAGGCCGGGTGAAAGGAGGGGGGGGGGGGGGGGGCGGGGCTTGCCTTTGTGGTGCATTTTGCATGGGATGGTTGAAGGTTTTGGGTACACAAGCCGATTGCAAAAAGGGTATAATTAGGGTACAACACTAGTTCTTCTAGTAAAAAGAACAATGATTCTCATCATGAATGTGTTTTTTTTTTTTTTTTTTTTTTAAGGTGGGGGTGGGGTTTCATAGAAGCTCAAGACGTGCGAGTCGAGTTGAGGGCTTTCGGGCGCTAGAAGGTTGGCATGAAATTCTCAGTCCCCGATTCCCCTTAAAATCTCCCACGAGGAGACTACTTAGGGGTACTTAGAAATATTTTTTGAATTTGGGTACTAGAATTCCTAAGAAACAGCAAAAGTTATAATTCAGTATAGACTAATAGGGTTCTTTAGGTTCATGGGGGTCGGTACCTAGGGAACGTTAGGGAAGCTTAGGGAGCCATGTGGAGTACTGGGAATATGAGGGAACCTTGGGTTACATGCCACCCTTGAACCCCCCCCTCCCTTAAGAACCCTACAAGGAGCGGCCCTTTGAATCCGAGGGATAAGAGGCCTCCACTGGCGCATTTCACTTAGGTTCGAGGTCCCATATCTATAGAGTTAGCAGTTAGCTCGGTATGGGGGCTCTAACCACCCTAAACCCTGAGTTCCTTCCACATCAGACCCTGTTGTGGATACGCCTGGCTGCTGCAATGCCTGGGTTTGCAGAGGGGGGTTTACGAAAACACGGGGCCCCTAATATAGACCACGAAGTAGTAAAATTCCCATAAAATAGGGACCAACCCTAAACCCTAAGCCCTAAGCCCTAAACCCTAAACCCTAAACCCCAAACTTCCTAAACCCACAGACGCTTGCGGCTCGCGGGGAGTCGGGTTTGAAGGGCAGTTTTGGGTTGCGGCCCTAAGGGTTTAGGATGTGGGGGGGGGGGGCACGGTTCGGCCACAAAGCCGGCCAAGCGGATTTTTTTCAAAGTAACCTGCTGATTCCAAAGAACGCAGAAAGTCAGTTCTAGTCTAATCTCATGTGGGTTCTTCTCATCGATCACAGAATCTCGGCATTTCAACACTTCTCGAGGCCACGCTACCAGCACGGACGTCCTCCCATCTTGCATCGGTCGCAAGCACACCCACTCTCATCCCTAATTCCTCAACCTTACCTGTCTTCCAGACCTAGAGTATCACCCCTAGCCCTTTCAGGTGTCTACCCTTCTTCTTTATTCCGGGGCTTTATAAAGGGAGTTAGTTCTGTAGGTTGCCTAATATTCGTGTAGGGGGCTTTTAATAAACAGCTTTGTGTAGGTTACCTAATACTATGCAAGGGGCTTTATGAACAAGGCCCACGGAGAAGCAGGCGTTTGGTTCTCAAGGCAACCAAACCGTGAAATCCGAAGCCCTAATCTTCTCAAAGCCAATGATTTCCTAAACTCTGAAACCTGAGACAATAAACCCTGAACCCTAAACGAAACCCTAAGACCCTAAACCCGAAACTTAAAAAAACACCCTGAACTTTAAGCCCCACAAGCGGGCTAAACCCTGAAGGCAAACAAAAGTCACTCCAACCCTCAAACCCTCAAACCTCAAAATCTCAAACCCGCAAACCCTCAAACCCTCAAACACCTAAACCCAAAACTCAAGTTCCCAACCTCCTCATCCTCATCCTCCCTGAGTTTCATATAAGGGCTTGAGGAACAAAACTTCTAGGGGCACTTGAAATCCTGCAATAAACCTTAGGCCCAAAACCTTACTAACACCCTATAAGCCCTCATTGTACAACCTCATATGCCCTGAAAATCTTGTAAGCCCAAACCCTAAAACCCCTACACACCCCCATACCTAAAGTTTAAATCCTAGAACCTCAAACCTTATAAACTCTATAAACTCAGCTCCCTGACAATAGGGTTTACAAAACCCGAACGCCCTAAAATCCTATAAACTATATCAACCCTATAAAACCTAACCCCTAGAAACGACAAAGACCCCAAACCCTATAAACCCTATGTCACAGTAAACCCTAAGCCCGAAACCCTAAAACCCTAACCCCTACACCCCACACGCCACACCCCACACCCTAAACCCTAAACCCTAAACCCTAAACCCTAAACCCTAAACCCTAAACCCTAAACCCTAAACCCTAAACCCTAAACCCTAAACCCCTAAACCCCTAAACCCCTAAACCCTAAACCCTAAACCCTAAACCCTAACCCTAGACCCTAAACCCTAAACCCTAACCCTGCCATGGAAGGCCTGGACTGGTCGATGGGCCTCTGGCACCCTGCGCCCGAGCCCCCAGCAACGACTTCAGGGTTGAGGGGCCTGCAAGTTATCGGCCAGGGTTTAGGGTTAGGGTGCAGGGTTTAGGGTTTAGGGTCTAGGGTTTTTTGGGAATAATTTCTATTTTTTGGGTACTATGACTCCTTAGAAACAGCTAACATTACAATTTTTGCTAGGGTTAGAAGTTCAGTATTTAAATGGCGGCTGCCTAAGTCTTTAGGGTTTAGGGGCTAGGAAGGGTTTAGACTTTAGGGTTTAGGGGCTGGGAGTGTAAGGGTTAAGAGTGTAAGGGGCTAGGAGTTTAAGGGTTTTAGGGGGGAGAGAGAGAGAGGGTCGTTTTATGCCAAATTGCACTGCAGTCCCTCCTCAAAAAGGGTGGTTTTAGGGATATTTCGGGTTTAGGGTTTAAATGGGGTTTAGGTTTTACCCCGAGAAAGAGGTTCTTCGACTGGGTCCCCCAAAAAACCAAGGTACAACCCTTCGGCAGTCCAGGGCAGGGACCTTTGAGACTGCCGACCCCCAAGCGACTGAAGGAGGGACTCGTATAAGCGACCTTGGGGGTTATTTGCGATGATTTAGGGGGCTAGTTACTTAGGTATGTGGGGACTATATAAGGTATATACAGAGGTTATGTAGGGGAATAACATTAAGGGTCTAAGCCCGCCTACCCTAAACCCTAAACTGCCTGCACCCTAAGTCTTCAACCCTGAGCACAGCACCCTTCCCATTCCTAAACCCTAAAAGCCCTAAAACCCCGAAAGTTCTAGGGTTTCGACTGGAGGGTTCTTTGGTTTAGAGTTTAGGGCTTCGGGTTTAGGTTAGGGGTTCAGGCATGTGCAGAATTGCGGCCCCTCCGCATAAAACAACACCATAGTGGAACCTAAAAGCACCAGACAAGCCCTAAACCCTGTAACTCCCAGATCCCCCTATACGCGAGGCTTACAGTAAACTCCAGAAAGGGATTCCCTTTCGTATACCTTTTGGGGTATGAGGATAATGATGTTCCAACTTTTTGGAGTTTACCGTCGGCCCCGGGTGCGCTGGAACCCCTAGACCTCCGCTGCTTCAACCACAGGAACAGACCCCCACCTCCCACTGGAAACAGTTTTCTGGAGCTCGC